GCAATATATAAAAGATTGTGTATAAGGATACAGTACAAGAAGAAAGTAGTTGGTAGAAATATGTAAAGCAACTTTAATCTCACGGTTTAAAAGAAGACAAAGAGTATATATACCTACGCCATTGTGATCGCTTTTGAGCCACGTCACCCAGAGTCTCCAACCATCTCAGTCGATGAATATTCACATGTGACCAAATACTAGTAACTGGTGAGTATCTTCTACTCTTAATGGCCACGTTTTGCGGCTGTAAAGTAGAAAACAACTAACTGCTGCGCAGTGCACTCATCCCTTAATTGATAGACGGATATCTCGCCTTCGCCATAGGTGACGTTAGTCTGTATAAGCCAAAAGACGTTTTTGAATCCATGCACAAACTTCGTCAGAGACCAATTCATCAGGCTTCTATGTTAAGTGAAGTTGTCGACGCGTTCCACTACACTCTCTAGCCTTAGTTTAGGTGTTGACGCAGGTCAGTCCTGAAGCAACAGTCTACATTTAGAGGGAGAGAAACGCATTTTCAACATCCTCGCATTGTTGCTCAGTGCTACCAAGACTATTTTATCAGCGTCTTCACCAACCAAGACTACATAATTTGCGTATTCTAAGCATCCTCATCTCACTAAAAGATCTACTTGGATCATTTCGTTAACATGCCTCTGTTTTTTGGAGACCTTGGCAAGTTACAGAATATAATGGACCTGAGTAACTCCAACACGTTTAACGTTAATGACGATTGACCGGAAATAATTGCCGAGACAATCTACTGTAAGGAATAACTGCATTCTAAGAGTACAAGGAGTTATTCCGTCAGTAGCAATCGTATTAGTCATTCGTGACCTCATAGTCTGGCTGTTTCCAGCCCAAAGTTTATACATCGAGTTTTTGAGACACGCTATCACATAGTTCATGCATACGGCCTACTTAGCTAGTGCAAGTTGCTGTGCATATTCGTATGATTGTCAGCAGTTACAAAATATTCTAGGGAAATGAAGGATATCATGGACTTCTAAACTCTAGCCAGATTACAAAGCAAGTCCATTTTCCACTATAAGTCTTTCAGATGTTAAATAATGTGCTTTCAAAAACAGACTAAGCGTTTTCGCAGTGCATAAAATAGCTTCCGGCGTTTAAAAGTTGCGTTGCTCACCAGTGAAATGTTTCAATAACGCAAATTAAGGAAACAAACCATAGCACTGGGTACTGAGACCATGATCCTATATTTAGAAACTCAGAAAAACAGTTGGTATGAGTTACAAACTAAGATGGGAGGGGATCTGTAGCTCAAGTGAGGGATTTTGTTCTGAGCTCATTGGTTTGGTCATGGAGCTCTTCTCATTATTCTGAACGGCGTAATCAGCACTTAGATTTTGCGCAGACGTCCTTCAGAATAACGACGAAAGAATTATCGTTACTTAAGGATAGAAATTGACAATAATCGACAGCTCCGAGGGCATTCAAATACTCCACTTATACGTTACTGTTTTATAATTAGTTGTTTCGCCTTTAATATTAGTTACAAACCGGTTGCCGTAGGCCCACTCGAACGAACTGATATTTTTCTGGATGCGTAACAGCTTCACAAATAAGACAGAAATGTTGGTTTTTCTATGCATGCGTGCATAAGTCGTTCCTCTTCACTTAGAATTGAAAATAAACGAGATATCGATGACTAGATACCACAAAAAACATAATAAGGCCATTGCCGTGTTTCGGTGTTGAATAAAGACGTTGAATACCTCTCTGCAACGTTCCATACATAGCTTTTCATTGAAATCTTATATATTAAGAAAAATTGCATAAAGTATTACTATTAGAACAAACTGCTTAACCTAAATTGGCACTAATGCTGCTCATTTTCAAACAAGAGAGTAGGCAGCCGCTAATTTAACCATATTTCCTAAGATATAACGAAATGACGTCATCCCTGTATTTGAATTGGACGATAAATTATAGCGATGACCCAGGAATTGGTTCGGCATTTTAAACTACAAAATGAAAATCCAGAAAACGAAACACTATGCTATATATTTTTCCCGAGCAAAGGAAGAAACAACTGATAACAGGACAAAACAACAGAAAATGCACTCAAAACATTCGCTCCGCAAAGAATTACCATCAAAACTGATCAGAATATAACTCAAAAACAGGCCGAGACAATAAGACATCATACGGTTTATATCATGACGCAGAAAACAGTACTCGGCAGCTACGTAACGGCGACGTGCTGCATAAATTGTCTACTTTACTCGTCAATTCCAAAGCATTAGATGTCGAGAAAGACTTCACTGACTGACTTGGTTAATAACTCCTTTGTAGCCAACATGAGGAGAATTCGTCACACCGATTGGCACTGAAATAATAAAATATGGGTCTGACTGAGTCTAATCTAACTCCCAATTCACCAGAAGCTTCACAATGTAACTCTCACCGACCACCTAAGTAGTCCCATACACCTTTAAGTTTCACAATCACTCCTTTCAAGGTTCACTACGATGCTATTATGTCACAATCTCACCATGCGTAACCCCAAATCGCTAATTACAACAACTACATTGGTTTTACCTCTCGATGCAGATTGATTGAGCATATGACCCTAACATAGTCCGAAATACAATAATGAGCTCCCAAACAACACCACAGAACTAAGCATAAACTCTCTTCCCTCGCATTCTATCCGCTTAAATATCCAGGAGGCCTGACTATGGGCCTTATGTCTAAATACAATCTTTCTTTGGCGAGAACATATCCGGGTGTCGAGACTGAACAATCCCCACTTATTTCTTTGCTGAGGTCTTGACCGAAGAGACAACACAATCCCGCTACACTTGCAATGATCACCGGCTCAACACTAACAGACTAACAGATGAGTAGTCAGGCATACAGAAACGATTGGTCGTGAGTCAAACAATGAACACACTTTAGTCGCAAACGAAACCAGCCCTCAACAAGATTGGTGTACTTGTGTCGTGAGAACGCACTCCAAGGTTTATATGATCACGGAGAGGACAATCTCGGTGGCACCAATACATGCGAGTTAACCAATATCTACATCATGTCTAACCAAACAGCTATGTTGAAGAAATAAAGACAGCTTACTGGCGCAATGAATGTCGATTGTTGTAGTGCATAACCCGTCGGTTTGCGCTTAAATCTAGACAAACTTTGGGCTTGGTGTGATACGAGATGACCAAGATACCCAACTATTGCACTGTTTACCGTCTAACCTGATTCAGGACTTTGAAATTCCCACCCCCCTAATCTTAGAACACAGTACCACGTATTTTTCTATACGTAATTAGAATTCACGTCCCTGGTGCGCCTCATACTAGTCAGTACTACACAGTAGCTGTTGAGTGGTTATGACCGGGGGTAGCTCGCAGTCAGCTAAGCAACTACGAGACTAAGTTTCTGGTGCGGTGGACAGGGACGTCAGTGTCCTGTAGAAGCGTACTTGTCACAACCAAGTCAGAGGGTTGGATACCACAATCGTAGGGAGACCTAAAATATAAAAGACAGGTCACCACCCATCCTCTAGAAACGCACATACCACATAGAGCCAGTAAAGTAATGACAGAGACTGTTTACAATTTTACAACCCAATAAATAGGGACGTCTGAAGACTGAACCGAAGTTAGATGGTCTCTAAAATCTGCTGACAGTGAGTATGAACAAACACCTCTCAAGCGATGACCTCGATGGCCAGTCACGATTCCAAGGACCCCACACCACCTACACTCATTGACAAGCCCTGACTACAACAAACCAAGCAATAGAGTCGACCGAAATGCTTCTCTAGATAGTTGATGGGATTCTTGTCAGGGAAACTCTTCACAGCCACGAAGTATTGAGAATTAATGGCCTACACTAACAAGCGAGAAATTTCTCAGGTTGGCATTACCGGAATGTAAAATTGTAGAACCTTATCTTACCACAACATGCCATACGTAGACCTGTCATCTGGCAGTCACTTTCGTTTCGTGACAACCAGCTCCTGATCGGGACTACATGGACTTCATAAGACCAACACGTGATATCAACACAAGAGATTAAACAATTTATTTGACACCAAAGCAAATAAAGTTGAGTTCTGGTGTGGAAACGGGGCTTCTCAGCGTTGAAATTGACTACCTAGCTTTAAAAGCCAAACTGGAATTATTTATTTACGTCCAATGAGTGCTGGACGATAGCCTTCGATTTCATGGACGTCTATCGACTGTTTTGGGGTCCATTGCAAGGGTGGAACGCCAAGGCATTTAATTGGCGAAAAATGTTCCAGAACAGTTGTGGTGATCTAGTATCCGTTGTTGAGCGAGTGTTTTCGTACAGGACATACGATACGAGTATGCTCCTGACAGCTTGGATTGCAACCTACTCCCCGTTATCCCATCCCAAGCATCCGTGAGCAAATCCGAGATATCCAAAGTCCATCCTTAGATGAAATCCAAGACCCTCCTGAAACTTATATCCTACTGACCACTTCACTATCTTGTGGTTTCGACTCAGACTTAGGATCCACAATGCACACCTACTCCCTTTCCATCTGGATAAGCAGAAGTATGACCTCCTGAGAATCACTCGTGGTAAAGTGCATCCATCAATCCACTGACACGTACAGTAACATTAGTATTCCTATCCCTTCAGATGCACTGAGTCCATCCTGTGGCCACAAAACTAATATTCCGCCGTTCCCTCCTATGTGGTCGTTTCCTCTTTCCATTATCCAGAAGACCTTTAAAAGCAAGAAAACTGTATTGAGTTTGTGTGATAACGAATAAAAATGGCCGTGACATCAAATTTTAATTACGTACAAACTTTCACACTTGTCCAGTGTCTTATCGTCGAGGGCTGATTGACCTAGAGCACGAATCGTAGGATCGACCTCTCCGTGGTGAGCCATACGACCGAGACCTGGAACGAGACCCTCCAGCCCTCTCTTCGCGGACACGGATATACGAGGATTCCCCCTACAAAGTTCGAATTACTATGACCGACAAACATACCTCATGAGAACGAAACTTGGAGTCGTCCAGACGTCTAATAGCATACTTCATGTCCTCGTACCTTAGGAATTCAACCACACCGGTGCCATCACGGAACACATCGGCATATCCAACATCTCCAGCTTCACGCATGTGATCCTTGAGATCTTGCCAACTACCAGTGGGTGGCAAACCCGTGACAATTACACGGAAGTCTGACCTCCTTGAAGGGCCACTAGCCCCACCACCCCCGCGATTGAAACCTCCTCTCCGGAACTGGTTAGGATTGGGACCGCCATTCCCATTGTTAAAACCTCCAGTACGTGGTAACTCAACCCGCAAGGCGTACCCATCAAAGTTGTATCCGTCGCGTCCACGAACGGCATCTGACGCATCACTGGGAAAGTCCACGTCATATAAACACAACTTACAGCTCGTCTTCGAACTCAACGAATGCAAACGGTGGACCACGTCTTTGTCCAGCTTTCAGATCGATTGCTGCGATTGGACCATACTTTGAAAATAGATTCTCGATATCTCGAGTTTTGGTATCTGGAGGCAAATTCCCAACATAAATCTTGTGAGTAGTTCTGGACATTTTGATGTAGGTTCTAGATTACCGCTCAACAGAGGTTTTGAACAGATAAAACAAAAGTCCCCCAAACCCTGAATTGATTGTTAACTCCTATCAGGCCTTCTATCCTACTTCTATGCTGTGTGTGGATTTACATGTTTTACGCCCATCTAAGGTGTAGTTTGGAGGCATAATTTTTGCACACAGTGTTCAGAATGAAACTGATGGATCGATGCACAGTCTGGAGTTACATTAAGTATCGTAAAATATTAGTGCATGGATTGGACACAAATTCCCTTTCATTATATACAACCTCAAAGTTTTTTCAACAGTACTAGTGCTTGCATGAGTTATTCGTAGATTTAACCACACATGATCAATGTCTGTTTTTATATGCCTCTGAAATCTATCCTGATTGGAGAAAACTATAAAGTACCAACACAGCAATAGCTTCAATAAAAAGACTACATTGTTTTGTGCAAAATGAAAATTCCTGTCTCGGTAAGATACGAAACGGCGACGTACTGCATAAATTGTCTACTTTACTCGTCAATTCCAAAGCATTAGATGTCGAGAAAGACTTCACTGACTGACTTGGTTAATAACTCCTTTGTAGCCAACATGAGGAGAATTCGTCACACCGATTGGCACTGAAATAATAAAATATGGGTCTGACTGAGTCTAATCTAACTCCCAATTCACCAGAAGCTTCACAATGTAACTCTCACCGACCACCTAAGTAGTCCCATACACCTTTAAGTTTCACAATCACTCCTTTCAAGGTTCACTACGATGCTATTATGTCACAATCTCACCATGCGTAACCCCAAATCGCTAATTACAACAACTACATTGGTTTTACCTCTCGATGCAGATTGATTGAGCATATGACCCTAACATAGTCCGAAATACAATAATGAGCTCCCAAACAACACCACAGAACTAAGCATAAACTCTCTTCCCTCGCATTCTATCCGCTTAAATATCCAGGAGGCCTGACTATGGGCCTTATGTCTAAATACAATCTTTCTTTGGCGAGAACATATCCGGGTGTCGAGACTGAACAATCCCCACTTATTTCTTTGCTGAGGTCTTGACCGAAGAGACAACACAATCCCGCTACACTTGCAATGATCACCGGCTCAACACTAACAGACTAACAGATGAGTAGTCAGGCATACAGAAACGATTGGTCGTGAGTCAAACAATGAACACACTTTAGTCGCAAACGAAACCAGCCCTCAACAAGATTGGTGTACTTGTGTCGTGAGAACGCACTCCAAGGTTTATATGATCACGGAGAGGACAATCTCGGTGGCACCAATACATGCGAGTTAACCAATATCTACATCATGTCTAACCAAACAGCTATGTTGAAGAAATAAAGACAGCTTACTGGCGCAATGAATGTCGATTGTTGTAGTGCATAACCCGTCGGTTTGCGCTTAAATCTAGACAAACTTTGGGCTTGGTGTGATACGAGATGACCAAGATACCCAACTATTGCACTGTTTACCGTCTAACCTGATTCAGGACTTTGAAATTCCCACCCCCCTAATCTTAGAACACAGTACCACGTATTTTTCTATACGTAATTAGAATTCACGTCCCTGGTGCGCCTCATACTAGTCAGTACTACACAGTAGCTGTTGAGTGGTTATGACCGGGGGTAGCTCGCAGTCAGCTAAGCAACTACGAGACTAAGTTTCTGGTGCGGTGGACAGGGACGTCAGTGTCCTGTAGAAGCGTACTTGTCACAACCAAGTCAGAGGGTTGGATACCACAATCGTAGGGAGACCTAAAATATAAAAGACAGGTCACCACCCATCCTCTAGAAACGCACATACCACATAGAGCCAGTAAAGTAATGACAGAGACTGTTTACAATTTTACAACCCAATAAATAGGGACGTCTGAAGACTGAACCGAAGTTAGATGGTCTCTAAAATCTGCTGACAGTGAGTATGAACAAACACCTCTCAAGCGATGACCTCGATGGCCAGTCACGATTCCAAGGACCCCACACCACCTACACTCATTGACAAGCCCTGACTACAACAAACCAAGCAATAGAGTCGACCGAAATGCTTCTCTAGATAGTTGATGGGATTCTTGTCAGGGAAACTCTTCACAGCCACGAAGTATTGAGAATTAATGGCCTACACTAACAAGCGAGAAATTTCTCAGGTTGGCATTACCGGAATGTAAAATTGTAGAACCTTATCTTACCACAACATGCCATACGTAGACCTGTCATCTGGCAGTCACTTTCGTTTCGTGACAACCAGCTCCTGATCGGGACTACATGGACTTCATAAGACCAACACGTGATATCAACACAAGAGATTAAACAATTTATTTGACACCAAAGCAAATAAAGTTGAGTTCTGGTGTGGAAACGGGGCTTCTCAGCGTTGAAATTGACTACCTAGCTTTAAAAGCCAAACTGGAATTATTTATTTACGTCCAATGAGTGCTGGACGATAGCCTTCGATTTCATGGACGTCTATCGACTGTTTTGGGGTCCATTGCAAGGGTGGAACGCCAAGGCATTTAATTGGCGAAAAATGTTCCAGAACAGTTGTGGTGATCTAGTATCCGTTGTTGAGCGAGTGTTTTCGTACAGGACATACGATACGAGTATGCTCCTGACAGCTTGGATTGCAACCTACTCCCCGTTATCCCATCCCAAGCATCCGTGAGCAAATCCGAGATATCCAAAGTCCATCCTTAGATGAAATCCAAGACCCTCCTGAAACTTATATCCTACTGACCACTTCACTATCTTGTGGTTTCGACTCAGACTTAGGATCCACAATGCACACCTACTCCCTTTCCATCTGGATAAGCAGAAGTATGACCTCCTGAGAATCACTCGTGGTAAAGTGCATCCATCAATCCACTGACACGTACAGTAACATTAGTATTCCTATCCCTTCAGATGCACTGAGTCCATCCTGTGGCCACAAAACTAATATTCCGCCGTTCCCTCCTATGTGGTCGTTTCCTCTTTCCATTATCCAGAAGACCTTTAAAAGCAAGAAAACTGTATTGAGTTTGTGTGATAACGAATAAAAATGGCCGTGACATCAAATTTTAATTACGTACAAACTTTCACACTTGTCCAGTGTCTTATCGTCGAGGGCTGATTGACCTAGAGCACGAATCGTAGGATCGACCTCTCCGTGGTGAGCCATACGACCGAGACCTGGAACGAGACCCTCCAGCCCTCTCTTCGCGGACACGGATATACGAGGATTCCCCCTACAAAGTTCGAATTACTATGACCGACAAACATACCTCATGAGAACGAAACTTGGAGTCGTCCAGACGTCTAATAGCATACTTCATGTCCTCGTACCTTAGGAATTCAACCACACCGGTGCCATCACGGAACACATCGGCATATCCAACATCTCCAGCTTCACGCATGTGATCCTTGAGATCTTGCCAACTACCAGTGGGTGGCAAACCCGTGACAATTACACGGAAGTCTGACCTCCTTGAAGGGCCACTAGCCCCACCACCCCCGCGATTGAAACCTCCTCTCCGGAACTGGTTAGGATTGGGACCGCCATTCCCATTGTTAAAACCTCCAGTACGTGGTAACTCAACCCGCAAGGCGTACCCATCAAAGTTGTATCCGTCGCGTCCACGAACGGCATCTGACGCATCACTGGGAAAGTCCACGTCATATAAACACAACTTACAGCTCGTCTTCGAACTCAACGAATGCAAACGGTGGACCACGTCTTTGTCCAGCTTTCAGATCGATTGCTGCGATTGGACCATACTTTGAAAATAGATTCTCGATATCTCGAGTTTTGGTATCTGGAGGCAAATTCCCAACATAAATCTTGTGAGTAGTTCTGGACATTTTGATGTAGGTTCTAGATTACCGCTCAACAGAGGTTTTGAACAGATAAAACAAAAGTCCCCCAAACCCTGAATTGATTGTTAACTCCTATCAGGCCTTCTATCCTACTTCTATGCTGTGTGTGGATTTACATGTTTTACGCCCATCTAAGGTGTAGTTTGGAGGCATAATTTTTGCACACAGTGTTCAGAATGAAACTGATGGATCGATGCACAGTCTGGAGTTACATTAAGTATCGTAAAATATTAGTGCATGGATTGGACACAAATTCCCTTTCATTATATACAACCTCAAAGTTTTTTCAACAGTACTAGTGCTTGCATGAGTTATTCGTAGATTTAACCACACATGATCAATGTCTGTTTTTATATGCCTCTGAAATCTATCCTGATTGGAGAAAACTATAAAGTACCAACACAGCAATAGCTTCAATAAAAAGACTACATTGTTTTGTGCAAAATGAAAATTCCTGTCTCGGTAAGATACGAAACGGCGACGTACTGCATAAATTGTCTACTTTACTCGTCAATTCCAAAGCATTAGATGTCGAGAAAGACTTCACTGACTGACTTGGTTAATAACTCCTTTGTAGCCAACATGAGGAGAATTCGTCACACCGATTGGCACTGAAATAATAAAATATGGGTCTGACTGAGTCTAATCTAACTCCCAATTCACCAGAAGCTTCACAATGTAACTCTCACCGACCACCTAAGTAGTCCCATACACCTTTAAGTTTCACAATCACTCCTTTCAAGGTTCACTACGATGCTATTATGTCACAATCTCACCATGCGTAACCCCAAATCGCTAATTACAACAACTACATTGGTTTTACCTCTCGATGCAGATTGATTGAGCATATGACCCTAACATAGTCCGAAATACAATAATGAGCTCCCAAACAACACCACAGAACTAAGCATAAACTCTCTTCCCTCGCATTCTATCCGCTTAAATATCCAGGAGGCCTGACTATGGGCCTTATGTCTAAATACAATCTTTCTTTGGCGAGAACATATCCGGGTGTCGAGACTGAACAATCCCCACTTATTTCTTTGCTGAGGTCTTGACCGAAGAGACAACACAATCCCGCTACACTTGCAATGATCACCGGCTCAACACTAACAGACTAACAGATGAGTAGTCAGGCATACAGAAACGATTGGTCGTGAGTCAAACAATGAACACACTTTAGTCGCAAACGAAACCAGCCCTCAACAAGATTGGTGTACTTGTGTCGTGAGAACGCACTCCAAGGTTTATATGATCACGGAGAGGACAATCTCGGTGGCACCAATACATGCGAGTTAACCAATATCTACATCATGTCTAACCAAACAGCTATGTTGAAGAAATAAAGACAGCTTACTGGCGCAATGAATGTCGATTGTTGTAGTGCATAACCCGTCGGTTTGCGCTTAAATCTAGACAAACTTTGGGCTTGGTGTGATACGAGATGACCAAGATACCCAACTATTGCACTGTTTACCGTCTAACCTGATTCAGGACTTTGAAATTCCCACCCCCCTAATCTTAGAACACAGTACCACGTATTTTTCTATACGTAATTAGAATTCACGTCCCTGGTGCGCCTCATACTAGTCAGTACTACACAGTAGCTGTTGAGTGGTTATGACCGGGGGTAGCTCGCAGTCAGCTAAGCAACTACGAGACTAAGTTTCTGGTGCGGTGGACAGGGACGTCAGTGTCCTGTAGAAGCGTACTTGTCACAACCAAGTCAGAGGGTTGGATACCACAATCGTAGGGAGACCTAAAATATAAAAGACAGGTCACCACCCATCCTCTAGAAACGCACATACCACATAGAGCCAGTAAAGTAATGACAGAGACTGTTTACAATTTTACAACCCAATAAATAGGGACGTCTGAAGACTGAACCGAAGTTAGATGGTCTCTAAAATCTGCTGACAGTGAGTATGAACAAACACCTCTCAAGCGATGACCTCGATGGCCAGTCACGATTCCAAGGACCCCACACCACCTACACTCATTGACAAGCCCTGACTACAACAAACCAAGCAATAGAGTCGACCGAAATGCTTCTCTAGATAGTTGATGGGATTCTTGTCAGGGAAACTCTTCACAGCCACGAAGTATTGAGAATTAATGGCCTACACTAACAAGCGAGAAATTTCTCAGGTTGGCATTACCGGAATGTAAAATTGTAGAACCTTATCTTACCACAACATGCCATACGTAGACCTGTCATCTGGCAGTCACTTTCGTTTCGTGACAACCAGCTCCTGATCGGGACTACATGGACTTCATAAGACCAACACGTGATATCAACACAAGAGATTAAACAATTTATTTGACACCAAAGCAAATAAAGTTGAGTTCTGGTGTGGAAACGGGGCTTCTCAGCGTTGAAATTGACTACCTAGCTTTAAAAGCCAAACTGGAATTATTTATTTACGTCCAATGAGTGCTGGACGATAGCCTTCGATTTCATGGACGTCTATCGACTGTTTTGGGGTCCATTGCAAGGGTGGAACGCCAAGGCATTTAATTGGCGAAAAATGTTCCAGAACAGTTGTGGTGATCTAGTATCCGTTGTTGAGCGAGTGTTTTCGTACAGGACATACGATACGAGTATGCTCCTGACAGCTTGGATTGCAACCTACTCCCCGTTATCCCATCCCAAGCATCCGTGAGCAAATCCGAGATATCCAAAGTCCATCCTTAGATGAAATCCAAGACCCTCCTGAAACTTATATCCTACTGACCACTTCACTATCTTGTGGTTTCGACTCAGACTTAGGATCCACAATGCACACCTACTCCCTTTCCATCTGGATAAGCAGAAGTATGACCTCCTGAGAATCACTCGTGGTAAAGTGCATCCATCAATCCACTGACACGTACAGTAACATTAGTATTCCTATCCCTTCAGATGCACTGAGTCCATCCTGTGGCCACAAAACTAATATTCCGCCGTTCCCTCCTATGTGGTCGTTTCCTCTTTCCATTATCCAGAAGACCTTTAAAAGCAAGAAAACTGTATTGAGTTTGTGTGATAACGAATAAAAATGGCCGTGACATCAAATTTTAATTACGTACAAACTTTCACACTTGTCCAGTGTCTTATCGTCGAGGGCTGATTGACCTAGAGCACGAATCGTAGGATCGACCTCTCCGTGGTGAGCCATACGACCGAGACCTGGAACGAGACCCTCCAGCCCTCTCTTCGCGGACACGGATATACGAGGATTCCCCCTACAAAGTTCGAATTACTATGACCGACAAACATACCTCATGAGAACGAAACTTGGAGTCGTCCAGACGTCTAATAGCATACTTCATGTCCTCGTACCTTAGGAATTCAACCACACCGGTGCCATCACGGAACACATCGGCATATCCAACATCTCCAGCTTCACGCATGTGATCCTTGAGATCTTGCCAACTACCAGTGGGTGGCAAACCCGTGACAATTACACGGAAGTCTGACCTCCTTGAAGGGCCACTAGCCCCACCACCCCCGCGATTGAAACCTCCTCTCCGGAACTGGTTAGGATTGGGACCGCCATTCCCATTGTTAAAACCTCCAGTACGTGGTAACTCAACCCGCAAGGCGTACCCATCAAAGTTGTATCCGTCGCGTCCACGAACGGCATCTGACGCATCACTGGGAAAGTCCACGTCATATAAACACAACTTACAGCTCGTCTTCGAACTCAACGAATGCAAACGGTGGACCACGTCTTTGTCCAGCTTTCAGATCGATTGCTGCGATTGGACCATACTTTGAAAATAGATTCTCGATATCTCGAGTTTTGGTATCTGGAGGCAAATTCCCAACATAAATCTTGTGAGTAGTTCTGGACATTTTGATGTAGGTTCTAGATTACCGCTCAACAGAGGTTTTGAACAGATAAAACAAAAGTCCCCCAAACCCTGAATTGATTGTTAACTCCTATCAGGCCTTCTATCCTACTTCTATGCTGTGTGTGGATTTACATGTTTTACGCCCATCTAAGGTGTAGTTTGGAGGCATAATTTTTGCACACAGTGTTCAGAATGAAACTGATGGATCGATGCACAGTCTGGAGTTACATTAAGTATCGTAAAATATTAGTGCATGGATTGGACACAAATTCCCTTTCATTATATACAACCTCAAAGTTTTTTCAACAGTACTAGTGCTTGCATGAGTTATTCGTAGATTTAACCACACATGATCAATGTCTGTTTTTATATGCCTCTGAAATCTATCCTGATTGGAGAAAACTATAAAGTACCAACACAGCAATAGCTTCAATAAAAAGACTACATTGTTTTGTGCAAAATGAAAATTCCTGTCTCGGTAAGATACGAAACGGCGACGTACTGCATAAATTGTCTACTTTACTCGTCAATTCCAAAGCATTAGATGTCGAGAAAGACTTCACTGACTGACTTGGTTAATAACTCCTTTGTAGCCAACATGAGGAGAATTCGTCACACCGATTGGCACTGAAATAATAAAATATGGGTCTGACTGAGTCTAATCTAACTCCCAATTCACCAGAAGCTTCACAATGTAACTCTCACCGACCACCTAAGTAGTCCCATACACCTTTAAGTTTCACAATCACTCCTTTCAAGGTTCACTACGATGCTATTATGTCACAATCTCACCATGCGTAACCCCAAATCGCTAATTACAACAACTACATTGGTTTTACCTCTCGATGCAGATTGATTGAGCATATGACCCTAACATAGTCCGAAATACAATAATGAGCTCCCAAACAACACCACAGAACTAAGCATAAACTCTCTTCCCTCGCATTCTATCCGCTTAAATATCCAGGAGGCCTGACTATGGGCCTTATGTCTAAATACAATCTTTCTTTGGCGAGAACATATCCGGGTGTCGAGACTGAACAATCCCCACTTATTTCTTTGCTGAGGTCTTGACCGAAGAGACAACACAATCCCGCTACACTTGCAATGATCACCGGCTCAACACTAACAGACTAACAGATGAGTAGTCAGGCATACAGAAACGATTGGTCGTGAGTCAAACAATGAACACACTTTAGTCGCAAACGAAACCAGCCCTCAACAAGATTGGTGTACTTGTGTCGTGAGAACGCACTCCAAGGTTTATATGATCACGGAGAGGACAATCTCGGTGGCACCAATACATGCGAGTTAACCAATATCTACATCATGTCTAACCAAACAGCTATGTTGAAGAAATAAAGACAGCTTACTGGCGCAATGAATGTCGATTGTTGTAGTGCATAACCCGTCGGTTTGCGCTTAAATCTAGACAAACTTTGGGCTTGGTGTGATACGAGATGACCAAGATACCCAACTATTGCACTGTTTACCGTCTAACCTGATTCAGGACTTTGAAATTCCCACCCCCCTAATCTTAGAACACAGTACCACGTATTTTTCTATACGTAATTAGAATTCACGTCCCTGGTGCGCCTCATACTAGTCAGTACTACACAGTAGCTGTTGAGTGGTTATGACCGGGGGTAGCTCGCAGTCAGCTAAGCAACTACGAGACTAAGTTTCTGGTGCGGTGGACAGGGACGTCAGTGTCCTGTAGAAGCGTACTTGTCACAACCAAGTCAGAGGGTTGGATACCACAATCGTAGGGAGACCTAAAATATAAAAGACAGGTCACCACCCATCCTCTAGAAACGCACATACCACATAGAGCCAGTAAAGTAATGACAGAGACTGTTTACAATTTTACAACCCAATAAATAGGGACGTCTGAAGACTGAACCGAAGTTAGATGGTCTCTAAAATCTGCTGACAGTGAGTATGAACAAACACCTCTCAAGCGATGACCTCGATGGCCAGTCACGATTCCAAGGACCCCACACCACCTACACTCATTGACAAGCCCTGACTACAACAAACCAAGCAATAGAGTCGACCGAAATGCTTCTCTAGATAGTTGATGGGATTCTTGTCAGGGAAACTCTTCACAGCCACGAAGTATTGAGAATTAATGGCCTACACTAACAAGCGAGAAATTTCTCAGGTTGGCATTACCGGAATGTAAAATTGTAGAACCTTATCTTACCACAACATGCCATACGTAGACCTGTCATCTGGCAGTCACTTTCGTTTCGTGACAACCAGCTCCTGATCGGGACTACATGGACTTCATAAGACCAACACGTGATATCAACACAAGAGATTAAACAATTTATTTGACACCAAAGCAAATAAAGTTGAGTTCTGGTGTGGAAACGGGGCTTCTCAGCGTTGAAATTGACTACCTAGCTTTAAAAGCCAAACTGGAATTATTTATTTACGTCCAATGAGTGCTGGACGATAGCCTTCGATTTCATGGACGTCTATCGACTGTTTTGGGGTCCATTGCAAGGGTGGAACGCCAAGGCATTTAATTGGCGAAAAATGTTCCAGAACAGTTGTGGTGATCTAGTATCCGTTGTTGAGCGAGTGTTTTCGTACAGGACATACGATACGAGTATGCTCCTGACAGCTTGGATTGCAACCTACTCCCCGTTATCCCATCCCAAGCATCCGTGAGCAAATCCGAGATATCCAAAGTCCATCCTTAGATGAAATCCAAGACCCTCCTGAAACTTATATCCTACTGACCACTTCACTATCTTGTGGTTTCGACTCAGACTTAGGATCCACAATGCACACCTACTCCCTTTCCATCTGGATAAGCAGAAGTATGACCTCCTGAGAATCACTCGTGGTAAAGTGCATCCATCAATCCACTGACACGTACAGTAACATTAGTATTCCTATCCCTTCAGATGCACTGAGTCCATCCTGTGGCCACAAAACTAATATTCCACCGTTCCCTCCTATGTGGTCGTTTCCTCTTTCCATTATCCAGAAGACCTTTAAAAGCAAGAAAACTGTGTTGAGTTTGTGTGATAACGAATAAAAATGGCCGTGACATCAAATTTTAATTACGTACAAACTTTCACACTTGTCCAGTGTCTTATCGTCGAGGGCTGATTGACCTAGAGCACGAATCGTAGGATCGACCTCTCCGTGGTGAGCCATACGACCGAGACCTGGAACGAGACCCTCCAGCCCTCTCTTCGCGGACACGGATATACGAGGATTCCCCCTACAAAGTTCGAATTACTATGACCGACAAACATACCTCATGAGAACGAAACTTGGAGTCGTCCAGACGTCTAATAGCATACTTCATGTCCTCGTACCTTAGGAATTCAACCACACCGGTGCCATCACGGAACACATCGGCATATCCAACATCTCCAGCTTCACGCATGTGATCCTTGAGATCTTGCCAACTACCAGTGGGTGGCAAACCCGTGACAATTACACGGAAGTCTGACCTCCTTGAAGGGCCACTAGCCCCACCACCCCCGCGATTGAAACCTCCTCTCCGGAACTGGTTAGGATTGGGACCGCCATTCCCATTGTTAAAACCTCCAGTACGTGGTAACTCAACCCGCAAGGCGTACCCATCAAAGTTGTATCCGTCGCGTCCACGAACGGCATCTGACGCATCACTGGGAAAGTCCACGTCATATAAACACAACTTACAGCTCGTCTTCGAACTCAACGAATGCAAACGGTGGACCACGTCTTTGTCCAGCTTTCAGATCGATTGCTGCGATTGGACCATACTTTGAAAATAGATTCTCGATATCTCGAGTTTTGGTATCTGGAGGCAAATTCCCAACATAAATCTTGTGAGTAGTTCTGGACATTTTGATGTAGGTTCTAGATTACCGCTCAACAGAGGTTTTGAACAGATAAAACAAAAGTCCCCCAAACCCTGAATTGATTGTTAACTCCTATCAGGCCTTCTATCCTACTTCTATGCTGTGTGTGGATTTACATGTTTTACGCCCATCTAAGGTGTAGTTTGGAGGCATAATTTTTGCACACAGTGTTCAGAATGAAACTGATGGATCGATGCACAGTCTGGAGTTACATTAAGTATCGTAAAATATTAGTGCATGGATTGGACACAAATTCCCTTTCATTATATACAACCTCAAAGTTTTTTCAACAGTACTAGTGCTTGCATGAGTTATTCGTAGATTTAACCACACATGATCAATGTCTGTTTTTATATGCCTCTGAAATCTATCCTGATTGGAGAAAACTATAAAGTACCAACACAGCAATAGCTTCAATAAAAAGACTACATTGTTTTGTGCAAAATGAAAATTCCTGTCTCGGTAAGATACGAAACGGCGACGTACTGCATAAATTGTCTACTTTACTCGTCAATTCCAAAGCATTAGATGTCGAGAAAGACTTCACTGACTGACTTGGTTAATAACTCCTTTGTAGCCAACATGAGGAGAATTCGTCACACCGATTGGCACTGAAATAATAAAATATGGGTCTGACTGAGTCTAATCTAACTCCCAATTCACCAGAAGCTTCACAATGTAACTCTCACCGACCACCTAAGTAGTCCCATACACCTTTAAGTTTCACAATCACTCCTTTCAAGGTTCACTACGATGCTATTATGTCACAATCTCACCATGCGTAACCCCAAATCGCTAATTACAACAACTACATTGGTTTTACCTCTCGATGCAGATTGATTGAGCATATGACCCTAACATAGTCCGAAATACAATAATGAGCTCCCAAACAACACCACAGAACTAAGCATAAACTCTCTTCCCTCGCATTCTATCCGCTTAAATATCCAGGAGGCCTGACTATGGGCCTTATGTCTAAATACAATCTTTCTTTGGCGAGAACATATCCGGGTGTCGAGACTGAACAATCCCCACTTATTTCTTTGCTGAGGTCTTGACCGAAGAGACAACACAATCCCGCTACACTTGCAATGATCACCGGCTCAACACTAACAGACTAACAGATGAGTAGTCAGGCATACAGAAACGATTGGTCGTGAGTCAAACAATGAACACACTTTAGTCGCAAACGAAACCAGCCCTCAACAAGATTGGTGTACTTGTGTCGTGAGAACGCACTCCAAGGTTTATATGATCACGGAGAGGACAATCTCGGTGGCACCAATACATGCGAGTTAACCAATATCTACATCATGTCTAACCAAACAGCTATGTTGAAGAAATAAAGACAGCTTACTGGCGCAATGAATGTCGATTGTTGTAGTGCATAACCCGTCGGTTTGCGCTTAAATCTAGACAAACTTTGGGCTTGGTGTGATACGAGATGACCAAGATACCCAACTATTGCACTGTTTACCGTCTAACCTGATTCAGGACTTTGAAATTCCCACCCCCCTAATCTTAGAACACAGTACCACGTATTTTTCTATACGTAATTAGAATTCACGTCCCTGGTGCGCCTCATACTAGTCAGTACTACACAGTAGCTGTTGAGTGGTTATGACCGGGGGTAGCTCGCAGTCAGCTAAGCAACTACGAGACTAAGTTTCTGGTGCGGTGGACAGGGACGTCAGTGTCCTGTAGAAGCGTACTTGTCACAACCAAGTCAGAGGGTTGGATACCACAATCGTAGGGAGACCTAAAATATAAAAGACAGGTCACCACCCATCCTCTAGAAACGCACATACCACATAGAGCCAGTAAAGTAATGACAGAGACTGTTTACAATTTTACAACCCAATAAATAGGGACGTCTGAAGACTGAACCGAAGTTAGATGGTCTCTAAAATCTGCTGACAGTGAGTATGAACAAACACCTCTCAAGCGATGACCTCGATGGCCAGTCACGATTCCAAGGACCCCACACCACCTACACTCATTGACAAGCCCTGACTACAACAAACCAAGCAATAGAGTCGACCGAAATGCTTCTCTAGATAGTTGATGGGATTCTTGTCAGGGAAACTCTTCACAGCCACGAAGTATTGAGAATTAATGGCCTACACTAACAAGCGAGAAATTTCTCAGGTTGGCATTACCGGAATGTAAAATTGTAGAACCTTATCTTACCACAACATGCCATACGTAGACCTGTCATCTGGCAGTCACTTTCGTTTCGTGACAACCAGCTCCTGATCGGGACTACATGGACTTCATAAGACCAACACGTGATATCAACACAAGAGATTAAACAATTTATTTGACACCAAAGCAAATAAAGTTGAGTTCTGGTGTGGAAACGGGGCTTCTCAGCGTTGAAATTGACTACCTAGCTTTAAAAGCCAAACTGGAATTATTTATTTACGTCCAATGAGTGCTGGACGATAGCCTTCGATTTCATGGACGTCTATCGACTGTTTTGGGGTCCATTGCAAGGGTGGAACGCCAAGGCATTTAATTGGCGAAAAATGTTCCAGAACAGTTGTGGTGATCTAGTATCCGTTGTTGAGCGAGTGTTTTCGTACAGGACATACGATACGAGTATGCTCCTGACAGCTTGGATTGCAACCTACTCCCCGTTATCCCATCCCAAGCATCCGTGAGCAAATCCGAGATATCCAAAGTCCATCCTTAGATGAAATCCAAGACCCTCCTGAAACTTATATCCTACTGACCACTTCACTATCTTGTGGTTTCGACTCAGACTTAGGATCCACAATGCACACCTACTCCCTTTCCATCTGGATAAGCAGAAGTATGACCTCCTGAGAATCACTCGTGGTAAAGTGCATCCATCAATCCACTGACACGTACAGTAACATTAGTATTCCTATCCCTTCAGATGCACTGAGTCCATCCTGTGGCCACAAAACTAATATTCCGCCGTTCCCTCCTATGTGGTCGTTTCCTCTTTCCATTATCCAGAAGACCTTTAAAAGCAAGAAAACTGTGTTGAGTTTGTGTGATAACGAATAAAAATGGCCGTGACATCAAATTTTAATTACGTACAAACTTTCACACTATTCCAGTGTGTGGTCGCAGGTTGATTTAACATATGGCCCTAACATTGTCCGAAATACAATAATGAACTCCCAAACAACACCACAGAACTAAGTATAAACTCTCGTCTGTCTTCCTTCGCATTCCATTCTCTTAAATTTACAGGAGGCCTGACTGTGTTCCTTATGTTTAAATGCGTTTGCCATCCATCTCTTTCCCCTGATGGTTTCTTATTTTTCCTTCACATATTTTGTGGAATATTTTTATGTCTTATTTTAATACAATGTTTTTGGTTTGTGTTTTTCTACGCGTTATCAGTTACCGTTTTTACATTTGCTATTTATTTTTCATTCTTCTTGTCAGTTTTGCACGATGCATATATCCCGATAGCTCGGCGTCTATTTTATTATTCAGTTCGCTGTACTTTATTTAATTTCTGGTTCCTATTTTCATTCCACGAATGTTTATATTCTGTCATATACAATTCATTCGAGTTTTATTTTTTTGTTGGAGAATCATGGGATGCGGCCTCTGGTTCTCCGAGAAGGGTAACAGGCGTATGTCAGTAAGTTTCACACTTTTCATATGTCTTTCGTTATATCACATTGAATCTGAAGATACGTAACTTTATTTAATAGGGAATAGATTGTTTGATTATGGTATTTATAAAGCTTTTCAAATATTTGTTCCCTGACTTACTTACTTACTTTCGCCTGTTACTCTCATTGGAGCATAGGCCGCCGACCAGCTTTCTCCAACCCACTCTGTCCTAGGCCTTCTTTTCTAGTTCTATCCAGTTCTTGTTCATTCTTCTCATGTCTGTCTCTATTTCTCGGCGTAATGTGTTCTTTGGTCTTCCTCTTCTTCTTTGACCTTCAGGATTCCATGTGAGGGCTTGTCTTGTGACGCAATCGGGTGATTTCCTCAAGGTGTGCCCAATCCACTTCAAGCGCTTCTTCCTGATTTCTTCCTCTGCTGGAATCTGGTTTGTTGTCTCTCACAGTAACTTGTTGCTGATAGTGTTTGGCCAACGGATCCGAAGTATCTTGCGTAGACAGCTGTTAATAAACACTTGTATCTTCTGGATGATGGCTTTCGTAGTTCTCCACGTCTCCGCCCCATACAATAGAACTGTCTTGACACTTGTATTGAAAATTCTAACCTTGGTGTTGGCTGACAATTGTTTTGAGCTCCAGATGTTTTTCAGTTGTAGGTATGCTGCTCTTGCTTTGCCGATCCGCGCCCTCAAATCTGCATCTGATCCACTGTGTTCATCAATGATGCTGCCCAGATATGTAAAGGTTTCCACATCCTCCAAAGTTTCTCCGTCAAGTGTAATTTGATTTGTGCATATTCTATTGTATCGGAGAGTCTTGCTTTTCTCTTTGTTTATATTGAGACCTGTTGTTGCTGAGGCAGTTGCTACACTGGTCGTTTTCTCCTGCATTTGTTGTTGCGTTTGTGATAGAAGAGCCAGATCATCCGTGAAGTCTAAATTGTCAAGCTGCATCCTGCCTGTCCAATGTATCCCGTGCATTCCTCCAGATATTGACGTCTTCATGATCCAGTTGATCACCAGGAGAAAGAGAAAGGGTGAGAGTAAGCAACCTTGTCTAACACCGGTCTTTACTTCAAACGAGTCGGTGAGTTGTCCTCCGTGGACGATTTGGCAGTTTAGTCCATCATAGGAGTTTCGTATGATATTGACTATCTTCTCAGGCACTCCGTAGTGTCGAAGAAGCCTCCATAGTGTCGTCCTGTCCACGCTATCAAATGCCTTCTCGTAGTCGATGAAGTTGATGTAGAGTGATGAATTCCACTCGATTGGTTGTTCCACAATGATACGTAGAGTTGCGAGTTCTTTGGTATTTTGATAAGAAGTCCTTCTTTCCAGTCTGTTGGTACTTGTTCTTCATCCCAAATCTTACTGAAGAGGATGTGTAGTATCTTGGCAGTTGCTGCTACATTTGCTTTCAATGCCTCTGCCGGGATGTTGTCTGGTCCCGTTGCTTTGCCGCTCTTGATTTGTCTAATGGCCATGCTGATCTCTTCAATTGTCGGTGGGCCAACATCGATTGGGAGGTCCGTGTGTGCTGCTTCGATGTTGGGTGGGTTCAGTGGAGCTGGTCGATTCAAGAGTTCTTTGAAGTGTTCTACCCACCTGTTTCGTTGCTCTTCAACGTCGATAATTACCTTGTCTTCTTTGCTTTTCACTGGTCTTTCTGGCTTACGGTAATTTCCAGCAAGTTTCTTTGTTGTATCATACAGTTGTCTCACGTTTCCCTCTCTTGCAGCCTTTTCCGCTGTAATTGTTAAATCTTCCACATATTTACGTTTGTCGGTTGTGATGCTCCTCTTCACTTGCTTGTTTGCCTCTGTGTATTCGGCTTGTGCCTTGGCTTTTTCTGCTCTTGTTCGGCTGATATTGATTACTACTTTCATGTTCCTCCTTTCTTCAATCTTATCCAGTGTACCAGCAGTGATCCATTCCTTGTGATGGTGCTTCTTTTGGCCCAGGACCTCCTAACATGTTGAAACGATTGCCTCTTTGATACCTTTCCAGTTGCTCATCATGGTAGTTCCCTTTCCATTGAGTAGATCATGAAAGGCCTGGAACCTGTTGCTGAGGGTTATGTTGCATTTGTTGTGTTTGTCAACATCTCGAAGAAAGGCCGTATTAAACTTTTGTGATGTTGTCCGCACCGTTGTCCAGTGCTTCTTGAGTTTTAGTTTCATCTTGGCGACCAGCAAATGATGATCGGATGCTATATCAGCTCCTCTTCTGGTTCTCACATCCTCCATCGTCCTCCTGAACTTTTTGTTGATGCAGATATGGTCGATTTGATTCTGTGTAGTGTGATCCGGTGAAATCCAAGTGGCTTTGTGTATGTTTTTGTGTGGAAATATGGTGCCACCTATGACCAGTTTATTGAAGGCACATAGGTTTGCAAATCTCTCACCATTTTCGTTCCTTTCTCCCAGTCCATGTTGTCCCATGACGTCTTCGTATCCAGTGTTGTCCTTTCCAACCTTGGCATTGAGATCTCCCATCACAATGGTCAGGTCTTTGGTTGGGCACTTCTCCAAGATCGACTGCAGCCTATCGTAGAATTGGACTTTAGCGTCTTCATCGTAGTCGTTGGTCGGCGCATAGCATTGAATGACGTTCATTGTAATGCCCTCTCTCTTTGTTTTGAAGGAGGCTTTGATGATCCTTGGTCCATGAGATTCCCATCCTATAACTGCATTCTGTGTTTTTCTGGACAGCATCAATGCAACTTCTTGTGTATGTGGGGCGTTTTCTTCTTCATGACCGGAGTATAACAGAAGTTCTCCTGAAGACAGTCGTTGTTGTCCAACCTGCGTCCAATGTGTTTCACTGATTCCAAGCACCTCCAGGTTGTATTTTCTCATTTCTTCAGCAATTTGAAAGACTCTTCTGGTCTCCCACATTGTTCGGACTTTCCATGTACCTATAAAAATTGTCGCTCCGGTTGTTAGAAGGTGCATCGGCCTCATGACTTCCGAATGAACTCGGCTTTCATCATGAGACGTCCTAATTATTCCTTCAACTCGGAGGGCAGAGTTTGAATGGTTTGAATGATTTTTTCCGGTTAGCGTTTTTTTAGCGAGTTGATTTTCTACGGGATGGGGTCGCTAACCCCATGCCCAACCCTCCTCCTTTACCCGGGCTTGGGACCGACAGCAACCCCCAGAGGAGCTACAGGCGGAGTTTGTTCCTTGGCTTATGTTAATTATATGGTATCCTAATGCCTATCATAGAGTTAGTGGTTTAATTGTCGTACGATATGAACTACTTCGTAACTTAAGAAATGACATTTGTAGATTCCAAAATCGAAATGACTACATGCTTTTTGATTTCATTGTGTTCAAATAATTGTAAGCTTCTGAAGTGGCTGCAGAATAAATATATTAGAATTTTAAGTTTGAAGGTTTCCTCTACGGATTTTAAATTGTTCTCACAAGATACAAATTAGTGTTGAAGATACAAACAAACTAATTCTATAGTTTATTAAATACAAATATTTACCATAATATACATGGTTGTTTAGTAACCAAACGGATTGAGCTTCAAAGTTTACATTGAAAACATGGACTGTGGCTAGCAGTGAAGCTTCGAACCCAGTACCTTTCTCTAAAAACGGCATCGCGTTATCCACTTTGCTACTGTGACTGAAATAGAAGTAAATGCTCGTCCTGGATTCTTTTGCTAACCACAGTTCGTCTATTCTATAAAAACTTATGGAAAGTGGATATATCGTGGCAGTGTGCTTAGAGTGCACATATGCCAACTAAGTTTGATAATATTTTAGCCAAAATATTGACAACGGGATAATTCAAACCACTTTAAATTGCGCTGCTAAGGTTTTTTGTTGAACCTTCGGAAAAGCTCTAGGGGTATTTTTAAAAGGTTGACTTTAGTTTATGGTGATATATTTTTCCATGAAATTAAGAGTTTCAGTGAGTATCTAAAAGATTGTAAAATTATGTATTGAAAGGATAGCCATCAATTACCTGTGTTGAAAGAAGCGTCAAGTTCTATGTGGTATTTTATGCTTGCCAATTGCTGTTCCGACAATTGCTGATGCTCTGAACCAGGGAACTTTGTTCATACGGTTTTTATGTGGTACTTGGGGCTGAGGATTGAATTTTGAGGATGTGTGAGGATATTTCGAGTAAACATGGGGATACGATTATTGTACGGCCACAGATGGGGCGTAATTAAAGGAGAGATATGGGTGAAGAACTTTATATTTCATATGATAAAGTTTCTGTCGATCCGGTTCGGAAATTTATCTGACAAAACAGTGCTCCGTTTAGTTTACTAAGTTGTTTATTTCTTTATCAAACGAATGAGTCAACAATAAGGAATCAATTAAAACATATGAAAAGCAATTTATTTATTTATTTATAAAACCGAATAAGTTGCTTTCTTATACATAAGAAAAAAGTGAAAGTTGTCTAATTTTTTTCCATATAACACTGATTTTGAATAATGCTAATGTTTGCGAATTATTTTACTTCATTATTGAATCTTCTATAAAGCTGTTTTGTGGGTCGGTGATGTTCACTGACTGTTCATCTAAAACCATATTCAAATTCCGTATGATTGTTTCACTGAGTCGAAGATTTGTATTAGAATCAGGATTAATTAGTGATTGCACCGGGCACCATATATTTTGTTTATTACTTGATGAACCTTTGTTGAAACAATAAAATTAATTAATAGTCATAAAAATATAAACACAAAAGTGATAAAAAAAGAACTGGTTAAAGCTAATTACGTTTTCGTTAATAATAAATTTATATCAATATGAATAGGAGGATATTTGAAGTGTTATTATTATTATTTATTTGAACACGTAAATATTGGTACAAAGGGACACCAAATATATATGCGCCGCACAAATCTCATTTGATTTGTGTGAGTACTGTGATACTGCCCAGGTGCCCAAACTGAAGCAGGTGGTTTTCTTAGGGGGCCACACCCGGAGCCTTTGACCGAAAGATCTGATCCACAAGGCAGTGGAGCATCGTGGGTGGATGCAGTCCCATGGTAGCCGGTGGCAAACAATCGATTCATACGTCATTTGTTCCTTCAGGATAGTGGAGCCCATATGCACCAGTGGTTTGGAATTAGGGTTTTCCAACTCCCATAGGTGGACTTTCCGTGTCCACCAACCCAGTTAAAGCGCCAGATATTCGCTTTTCGTCCTCTTAATTTCGTAAACAATACCCCTGCCACAAGAAGGCAGTGAGTAGGGCTTCCCTGGCAGAGGCTATATACGCGTGGCCGTGTGAGAGCATTTCGAGAGGGAGGGTGGCCCCTCCACACTCTCAGCCGTACTGGGGCATTTGAAGTGTAGTTCACAAAATGTACTATCGACTGATTGATAGAGCTTAAAATTAGAATTTCACTTTCATAAATAAATTACCAAAATATTATTTAGCGTTTATAGAAAAATCTGTATTTATTCTTATATACATCACCGATTTCGATATCTCTTAATAATATTTCATTTATTGTCTTATTTAAAAAGAATAAGAAAATGTGATGTTATTACATAAACAAACAATTAAATTTTATTGACACTTTACACACCCATAATTTTATTATGCTCATGAATTTCATTGACGAGATCATCTTTATCACTGATCCTAAAGAAAGTTGGATGAATAAATAAACAAATTCAAATGAAAAAATCATTGAAATCTTTGAAAGTTTAACTTCATTGATGCTGGCATCTGTTATTTTGATAAAATTGTACTATTTAATAATTGCAAGAGAATAGTGATAATTCACAACTAAAACACTTTAGAGAAAAATCGGTTCATCTAGGACGTTAAATATATTTTAAGAATGACTCCAATAGATTTAAGTACCTTCTGTGTTTTTCCATATCTATAAAACATTTTACGTAGATTTAAACGTAAAAAGATCCGATTGAAATATCCGATCTGTTTCATCATAAAGTTATTTTTTACCGGTGGTTAACGTGAATGATTATCAAGACTCAAGTTACTAACAATTGATTGGCCATCATTCATGACTACTATGAATCATTCAGCCGACGGCACTTCCTAAGAAGGACAGTGTTCAAAGTGACTGACGACTAACGCAAGTAGTCAGATTATGTAAAAGGTGATAATGAATAAATCAAATCAAATAATTATAGGAAATCATGTATTTTTGTGTTTTGTCTTCATTGTTTTATTCATTTCTATTCAATTCAGCTTGAAAAATATATTGAAGGATATATACTTTGCTATTAAATACAGATTTTATTAGAAATAGAAGTAAAACATGGTTAGTCTGAAAAATGAAATAGTTTTACTTAATTCGTGAGATATTTTGGATAATTATTTGTACAGTTTTTTTATATTTTTAAATCGTATAAACAAGTTCAAGGTAAACCATTGTAGATGAATAAGTTTATACATTATCTATGATCTTTATGCTAAATGTAACTTACATTATTGTATATTCAGACAACACACCATAATATACCCTTTCAATAAGCGTATATTTCTAAAAAAATTAATTAATTTTATATGCAACACAAAGCTATATTTTTCAACGTTAATTAAATTTGTAGCTTCTAGTACTATGTCAAGCCTATATGAGTTATTCCAACTTCTGGATAGATTAATCAATCTAATATTCTGAAGTCATACTTTGACTTTATAATTTTCGCTGATGATCTTGACTGTTTTATATGAGCGTATGTGTACTCATCGCTTACCTCATTCATTACATGTCTTCAGCTTATCTTTGTTTGGTTATAACTATTGAGTCACGCTTTATCAGAATAAGTTGGCTGGGGCACATTTCAGGAAGCATTCCATTGTATGGGTTTTTCCCACAGTGCCCACTCAGGGTCTATTGATCTTGAGGAGCTTTTATTGGTTATATTCATTTGTCATCATATTTATCATAAGCTTATAGTGCTTAAGTTATGTCAGTTTGTCAGCTTTTTAAAATACCCTATGTACACTATTGATAAACTTGGTTTCATATAACAGACACTGTTGTTTGATACTTATATAATGTAAATATAATGTAAATCAAATTGGTGACACTAGCTGATTTGTGTAAGTGCACCTACACAAGTACCATGGTATTTAAATATCTGCCTTTTTATTGTTATGTCTTGTAAGTCTAACGGTCGTTCTTCAGTAATACATTATTCGTATAATTTGATATCAACTGAATGATTTCAAATGATTACCTTCATGATATCACGTATAAGATACAAAATTTATTCATCTTTGCAGACTGTCAACCAATGGCGATATTTAGGATAATTTTCCAATCCAGTCATCAGTTTATAAGTGCGTGTATTTGTCTATTACTGATATCCTTAGGAGAGTGGTCAAGTAGGACAAAACGAGCACCCTGGCTTACTCTTTTGACTACAATAGAGAAATACTAAAAAATTGAAGCTAATAGATAATATCTAGGATGTTTGTATAATAATAGACTTGTCAGTTTCAGTTCCTAATACTAACAACAAGGAAATCCAAATTGTTAAGAATAAACATCACATTTGTCGGGCAAGTTATTAACTATCTGAACTCAGCAGATCATTGGATGACGCATTGAAGCTTAAGATGATAAATACTAGGTTCTGGTACCAGCGTAAACATCAGCAACAGGATGTAGATATATTCAGCTATCGAGTCCGAAGTAAGACGTCACTTTTTACATGTATTTGAGTGATAGATAGGATCCAAATCTAAGTAATTTGTCAGTAACCAACATTTTTTAAAGGTCCATATACTAGATCGTAACAAAATGATATAATCTAATTAGTCTGATAATGATTACAGAGATTATCACCGTTTAAACAAAACTAACATTTCTATAATAAATACTTATAAGAATTGTAATACCTACTGTGAAGATTGTCCTTTGTGGATTTTGCCAGTATTTTCTTTTTGTTTAGTCAATTCACATAGTGCTACATCAAAAAGGGGTGTATTTAAATAATTTTCATTCGATTCATCATTAATTGGATACATTATCTGTTATAAATAAATAAAATTAAAAGTAGGTAATTACGTGAAGACTTAAAATATGAAATTAAGACAATCGAATATTAAATTTACTTCATCTGTTTGAGTAACAGGCTTTTCCGAATCTAATTTAGAATGCGAGAAAACATGTGGATTATCATTACTCAATTGCATTCGTGTTGTAGCCAATTTATGTAATTCATCAAATGAATTCCTATTTAATGTGCAATTCTCCATAATTCCATTCTGGTTTTTCTCTTGTTCTTCTTTCGAATTCCATTTTGAATTGATGACACAAGTGTGAAAGGCGATAAAGTAAACAAAATGTAAGAAAATGCATACAGACGTTAATATTTTAGTAAAGAATAATTATTGTACAGAATAACTACTCAAACATTATGCTTTCGCCCACTGTGTTTAGTCATGTCTATAAATTATGAAGTGATGATTAAGTCCTAAGATTAATTTGTCTAGTTTATTGACGAACGACGAAGCTAACTTTTTATTCTCTTCTTTTACTGATGTGAACATGAAAAATTTCATAATGTCTGTTTATTGGGCGTATTTATACCCCGATAGTAGAGATCATTCTTAAAAAACAAAACCAAAACCATATGTACTCCGATTTCTGAACTTCATTTTCTTGAAATTTTATTAACATTTTGCGGCGAAAATTGTTTCAAGAGGATGTAACTGTGATTCAAAATACAAGTTTCTAAAATTCAAATAGTTTAAAATGTCGATATTTGTAAAATTCTCAGTGATTTTGAAACTTTATTCAACATAAGTTTGAATATACTGAAGTAATTTTCCAGCATTTGGCCGGCAATTTATGTTTATGCTGACTAGACTTAAGAGAAAAATTAAGGTTGAGTGTTAAGTGCATAATATAAAGACTGATTTCAACTTCATTTCATATCACAAAGCATCAGAGTAAACACTATTTAAAGTAATTAAAAATAAATCTTATCTTCATACTTCATTAAGAAGTTCTGTGGTCTCAAAAGGAAAGAATCGCACGTAGGAAATAAGATTTACTGTTCTTTATCTAAATAGCTAAGGCTCATGATGAAGACGAGCCGTCTTTCTTCAGCAGAAGTATGAGCTGCGACTTTATGGTGTACATTTTTTTAAGTTAACAAACTTAATTTTTCAAAAATTTTCAAATGAGACCTTTGACATCAAGCATTACATCCAGTGATAACTGAAACAACCAACTTGCACAGTAGTAACTCTTTCGCAAGTTACAGTGATAAGTGTATTTTCCAGGTCCATGCTAGTCAAATTGTTCAGTGTTGAGCATTTTCTAACACATTAAGTTTCCGACTATTTGTGTCACTTTTGGATCAATACATTGCACGGTATTCCCAGTGAAAATTTGATCAAAACATGAAACTCACCATTACTTAGATTTGGCAAGAAATTCCTTTCAGATACTTTTTGACTATCTAAGCCTTCTTGTCTTATTGGTTGCCGAAGCTTAGAATTCCGATGCAAACGAAGCAATAATTTTTCTGCATAAGATATACTTGGCCTGAAATATATTTCTACCGGAACAAATGTTTTATATGGTATTGAGGTTATATGACTGACTGTAGCTGAAGATTGTTCTGTTGTTTGTGGTGTTTTAATAGGGGTACCATATTGGTCGGGATCATTTATTGCTTCAGTTTGTAAAGCTAAATTTGATTTGGTCGCAATATTAAAGGAACTTTGACATCCCTGTGAAATTTTATAAAAAAGGTTTGGATGAAAATAATACTTGAGATTCATTAAAAAAATCAGTTCAAATTACCTATTTCCTTGTCATTTAGAACTAACAAATATTTTACTTCAAATCACTCAGCTATTAAAACTAAGATTGTGACGCTTCAACGTAATAGTTTTATCTTTGCAACAGGTTGACTTTTAATGTGACCAAGGGACTAATCTTGCACTGTTGAGTCCCTAAACGTCGTAAAGGTTTAGGACAAACTTATTAAATTTTATGATTCTTATGGTCATAATTGCGCTTTGATTGTAAAATAATCAAGCATAATTATGGGTGGTATTCTCTCTCCAGATAGTCCAAAAACCTCGGATTTAATTAGAATTAAGTAGAACTCTCATTTGAATTTCACTCATATCACCTGATTCGAATCTATGCGACAAAAGTTCGAAATTTACATTCAAAATTTACTGAGTAATTATTTATGTGAATGAATTAATCGCTATGATCAAACTAACCTGCAAAGTTAGAGAATAAAAACATAAAGAACATTTTATGCTGTCCTTTATTGCCGTTTCATTGTTATTGCGTCATTGAGCATATCCAAGACTTTATACATTACAGATGTTTACTGAGGACTTCTTTATTTAATAGATTAGAAGTATGCATTGTCTATTTATGTATCAAAGTAAATAAATCTGTCTCTATAACACAGACTGACTGCAGTTAAATGACCACTTAAAACCAAGAAACATTGAGGAGCCGTTTTTTCTATTGCACCCTGATTTTTAAAAGATTTCTAGCAAAGGTTAGCCACTAATACAAATTTAACATTCTTTATCATTCTTCGCGCTAACGAAGCTCATTACAACGTCACTAACTTTAATTTGCATTTATGCGTTTTGCTTCATAGATGAAAGTTTTATTTAACTTTTTTAATGCACGATAAGTAGATGTTTATATCCTGTACTGAGGGCCAATTTAACACACGTAAAAATCGAAATTATGCAAACCCGTTAGCTCGGTGCAAAAATAGTAGCATCAAAACCAAGACTCGAACAAGTATTAAACAAGTGTTAGCATTTAGATAAAGACAGAACAAATATTGATGCATCAATATTTGTTCTGTCTTTATTTAAATTCATAATGGGAACTAACTGCATGAAAGTGTTAGCATGTTTACATGATAGTAGCTTCTTTTGAAGCTTGGAGCCTGCCTACGTCGTAAGTGGTCTTTCGTAAACTTGAGTGATGTGATATTAAAGGCTAGAAACTCTAAAACGCTTTGTTAAATGCTTTATGAAAGTCCCGACCTGAATATTTTTGGGGTGACTGTTATCAAAATATTTGGTGAACCTTTTAAAATTTATTAAATACATAAAATAAGAAAAGTCAAACGTTATTTCATTTAGTAGTACACAAAGTTTAATCTTGATACAACTGAGTTTTAATGTTTCCATATTCAAACTATAAATAACGTTTCTAGAAAGGGTGCTTCAGATTAAAATTACAAATATTAGTAACAATTAGCAAATTATAAGTATAGTTGAGAATTTACCAAAATAAAACTTACTTTGCTAACTGACTCTTTCAATTCTTTTATTTTGTTAATACCATCACTTCCTTTACAGGGACGTGACTCAGGCCGTAAGCTACAAGTCTAAACCATGATTATAAACGGTCGTCATACTGAAACAGGCAACGAATGATGACGTCTAAGTGCTCCTTTTAAATGAAACGTTGCAAAACATTTAGCGCAGTAATATTCACTGCATTCCTGGCACAACTTTAAAAAAAAGTCAGAAAGAATAACACGTACAACAACAGCCTTTTTGTCTTCACACTGTCCACACATAGACGGGTGAGCATTGATAGGATTTACGGGTGTAAGTTTCATGCCTTCATTTATTTTTCGGATAAAACTACCATACGTATCTGGACTTTTGACTTAATAAGTAACAAATTAGTAAATCGAGCTACTTTCAGAAGTCGTACTGTGCTTCAAAGGCTTGAATTTAAGTCCACTGATCTAAAACCAAGTGTACACAACAGGTTGAATAAATTTCATACGTCAACTATTGTATCGCTTTTCTGTTTTTCTACTATAGAGGTCGTACAACTACCTTCCCAAATCGGCACAGACGAACTGACCATTGAACTTAAACTACATAATTTCATTACTTGAGTTTATTTGTTTTGGTTAGTTCTGAATAAAGAGTCGATTTAAGCAGCTTCAGTCTCTCTTCAATCTCCTTTGTTTCCATAGCCAACAGTTTGTTCTCCTTTTTCTGTTTCAAAACAGCTCTTTTATTGATCAGTTTTGTAGGTTTATAGCTTACAATTTTTTGTCATTCTTCTCCATAGAAATTTAATCAAGAACAATTGGTTGGTAAAACTGAATCACTGAATATACACGACCGCAAATAACATCCAACAAATGAGTCTTACATGTGGTCGCAAAAATGAGGTCTGGAATCATAGAATAGTTCTATAGACGTTCAAAGTCGTAAGACTATGTATACAGTGGCCGAGAAATCGAACTATCTTTGTTACGTTCTTATTGTCAACACATATATTGGTGAATTTAAACACAACTGCGTAAAAAAACTAACAGTCAACAGAGAAATACCACTAACAAATTTTTGAACTTTCGCATTCTTTAAGTGTGTTTTACGACGTTTTTCAGTTGTGTTGATGTATTAAAGAAGAGTAAAGGATTCTGGTGAATTATGGTATTATATTCCCTTAGGTTGCTGGGAAGCGGTACTGAGAACTCACTCAGTAAGCTTTAAACACATCTTAGGGACGAGTCAGCTCGTTGTTTATTATTACCAGTCTAATATCTGTTACTTAATTTGTATTTTCCTCTCTACTAAACTTTGCGTAACTAATCTATTAATCTCAAATCAAGATCTAGTCTCCATTCATGTTACTCCCATTGGCTGTTGAGCTGGCAGTGTGACTACCTACTCAATGTGTATTATGAAACAGTTGTAGATGTTTTCACTTGAAGAATTTTGCTTCAGTAAATTCTAAGAAAGCCAGTATGTTGTTTCTTGATACTACGTTAATGGCCGATTGGTCGTACTACTTAATGACTCAACATATTTCAAGACGGAACGGTTTGTTTTTCATTAAACGTAAACCGTTGTAATCGAGGCGACATCTATAGTTCGGTGACTGCATTTACGAGCATCACAGTATTCCAGTTTCCTAAGCTTTCAACTAGTTACATCCATGAGTGTTAAATGCTGAACAAGTAATAGAGCATTCATTTTAGGTTAGTCAGTTACCACTTTCAGCTCTGTACTTACTTACTTACTTTCGCCTGTTACTCTTAATGGAGCATAGGCCGCCGACCAGCTTTCTCCAACCCACTCTGTCCTGGGCCTTCTTTTCTAGTTCTATCCAGTTCTTGTTCATTCTTCTCATGTCTGTCTCTATTTCTCGGCGTAATGTGTTCTTTGGTCTTCCTCTTCTTCTTTGACCTTCAGGATTCCATGTGAGGGCTTGTCTTGTGACGCAATCGGGTGATTTCCTCAAGGTGTGCCCAATCCACTTCAAGCGCTTCTTCCTGATTTCTTCCTCTGCTGGAATCTGGTTTGTTGTCTCCCACAGTAACTTGTTGCTGATAGTGTCTGGCCATCGGATCCGAAGTATCTTGCGTAGACAGCTGTTAATAAACACTTGTATCTTCTGGATGATGGCTTTCGTAGTTCTCCACGTCTCCGCCCCATACAATAGAACTGTCTTGACACTTGTATTGAAAATTCTAACCTTGGTGTTGGCTGACAATTGTTTTGAGCTCCAGATGTTTTTCAGTTGTAGGTATGCTGCTCTTGCTTTGCCGATCCGCGCCCTCAAATCTGCATCTGATCCACTGTGTTCATCAATGATGCTGCCCAGATATGTAAAGGTTTCCACATCCTCCAAAGTTTCTCCGTCAAGTGTAATTTGATTTATGCATATTCTATTGTATCGGAGAGTCTTGCTTTTCTCTTTGTTTATATTGAGACCTGTTGTTGCTGAGGCAGTTGCTACACTGGTCGTTTTCTCCTGCATTTGTTGTTGCGTTTGTGATAGAAGAGCCAGATCATCCGTGAAGTCTAAATTGTCAAGCTGCATCCTGCCTGTCCAATGTATCCCGTGCATTCCTCCAGATATTGACGTCTTCATGATCCAGTTGATCACCAGGAGAAAGAGAAAGGGTGAGAGTAAGCAACCTTGTCTAACACCGGTCTTTACTTCAAACGAGTCGGTGAGTTGTCCTCCGTGGACGATTTGGCAGTTTAGTCCATCATAGGAGTTTCGTATGATATTGACTATCTTCTCAGGCACTCCGTAGTGTCGAAGAAGCCTCCATAGTGTCGTCCTGTCCACGCTATCAAATGCCTTCTCGTAGTCGATGAAGTTGATGTAGAGTGATGAATTCCACTCGATTGGTTGTTCCACAATGATACGTAGAGTTGCGAGTTCTTTGGTATTTTGATAAGAAGTCCTTCTTTCCAGTCTGTTGGTACTTGTTCTTCATCCCAAATCTTACTGAAGAGGATGTGTAGTATCTTGGCAGTTGCTGCTACATTTGCTTTCAATGCCTCTGCCGGGATGTTGTCTGGTCCCGTTGCTTTGCCGCTCTTGATTTGTCTAATGGCCATGCTGATCTCTTCAATTGTCGGTGGGCCAACATCGATTGGGAGGTCCGTGTGTGCTGCTTCGATGTTGGGTGGGTTCAGTGGAGCTGGTCGATTCAAGAGTTCTTTGAAGTGTTCTACCCACCTGTTTCGTTGCTCTTCAACGTCGATAATTACCTTGTCTTCTTTGCTTTTCACTGGTCTTTCTGGCTTACGGTAATTTCCAGCAAGTTTCTTTGTTGTATCATACAGTTGTCTCACGTTTCCCTCTCTTGCAGCCTTTTCCGCTGTAATTGTTAAATCTTCCACATATTTACGTTTGTCGGTTGTGATGCTCCTCTTCACTTGCTTGTTTGCCTCTGTGTATTCGGCTTGTGCCTTGGCTTTTTCTGCTCTTGTTCGGCTGATATTGATTACTACTTTCATGTTCCTCCTTTCTTCAATCTTATCCAGTGTACCAGCAGTGATCCATTCCTTGTGATGGTGCTTCTTTTGGCCCAGGACCTCCTAACATGTTGAAACGATTGCCTCTTTGATACCTTTCCAGTTGCTCATCATGGTAGTTCCCTTTCCATTGAGTAGATCATGAAAGGCCTGGAACCTGTTGCTGAGGGTTATGTTGCATTTGTTGTGTTTGTCAACATCTCGAAGAAAGGCCGTATTAAACTTTTGTGATGTTGTCCGCACCGTTGTCCAGTGCTTCTTGAGTTTTAGTTTCATCTTGGCGACCAGCAAATGATGATCGGATGCTATATCAGCTCCTCTTCTGGTTCTCACATCCTCCATCGTCCTCCTGAACTTTTTGTTGATGCAGATATGGTCGATTTGATTCTGTGTAGTGTGATCCGGTGAAATCCAAGTGGCTTTGTGTATGTTTTTGTGTGGAAATATGGTGCCACCTATGACCAGTTTATTGAAGGCACATAGGTTTGCAAATCTCTCACCATTTTCGTTCCTTTCTCCCAGTCCATGTTGTCCCATGACGTCTTCGTATCCAGTGTTGTCCTTTCCAACCTTGGCATTGAGATCTCCCATCACAATGGTCAGGTCTTTGGTTGGGCACTTCTCCAAGATCGACTGCAGCCTATCGTAGAATTGGACTTTAGCGTCTTCATCGTAGTCGTTGGTCGGCGCATAGCATTGAATGACGTTCATTGTAATGCCCTCTCTCTTTGTTTTGAAGGAGGCTTTGATGATCCTTGGTCCATGAGATTCCCATCCTATAACTGCATTCTGTGTTTTTCTGGACAGCATCAATGCAACTTCTTGTGTATGTGGGGCGTTTTCTTCTTCATGACCGGAGTATAACAGAAGTTCTCCTGAAGACAGTCGTTGTTGTCCAACCTGCGTCCAATGTGTTTCACTGATTCCAAGCACCTCCAGGTTGTATTTTCTCATTTCTTCAGCAATTTGAAAGACTCTTCTGGTCTCCCACATTGTTCGGACTTTCCATGTACCTATAAAAATTGTCGCTCCGGTTGTTAGAAGGTGCATCGGCCTCATGACTTCCGAATGAACTCGGCTTTCATCATGAGACGTCCTAATTATTCCTTCAACTCGGAGGGCAGAGTTTGAATGGTTTGAATGATTTTTTCCGGTTAGCGTTTTTTTAGCGAGTTGATTTTCTACGGGATGGGGTCGCTAACCCCATGCCCAACCCTCCTCCTTTACCCGGGCTTGGGACCGACAGCAACCCCCAGAGGAGCTACAGGCGGAGTTTTTCTGCTCTGTAGGTGTGTCATATATTGGTTTCGCGTATTGTAGTCACCTTAGAGAAAAAAGGGTCAACCTTTCACTGTTCCATTTCATATGAGTGGATCTGTTTCTTCGTGAGGTCAGTCTGAAATCGTGCTCATAAGAAGTTCCGAGCAGAGAAATGTTTATACCGTAGGATTCAATTGGTTTAACTAGAGCGTCATTAAGTTGAGATTACGTAGGTCTACATGCATCGGTAGATGTTAATTGACTTATTTCAGTCGTCAGGTAAACCTAATGTAATATTTCCGGACTTGCTATGATCTCACTACTTAATATGTATGATGATACATCATATGTTTCAACATTTTTACCTTGGAAGTCAAGATGTACGAGTTTATAATACAAAATTACAGATAAAATAATGTATTAAATATAAGAAAGGAAGTTTATTGGTCACCAAGTCTGGATGCCTGACCCACTCAATTAAGATAACTTTTCAGTGTCAACCATTTTATACCCCGACAGTTTTCTCTCATCACCTATTCAATATCCAGCATTCTTCTAACGTTATCATCTCCTAATAGGGAGGTGAATAGCTGAGATACAGGTCTCTAAGAACAACGAACGCCTGATAATCTTCTGTGAAGAAGACAGAAGTTTCCATACTATCGTAAATCGTATTAATTTTTCAGTGTGCGCATCAGTGAGAAAATATTTGTCGAACTATATCTCGAATTGCCCCGGTTAATACTTTGAATTTTCTACGTTTCTGTAGTGAAATGTACTTTTTCCGCCCTGGTATCTGCAAGGATCAAGGGCATACGTTTTACATTTAAAACTGTTCATCATCCACCTTTTATGCTATTCCTAGTCCAAGTGTATATTTCTGTAATAACCTGAGGTTTCCATTGATGTGAACAGACTCTTCTCACCCTAAAATTTGACTTCCAGTTTACATCTGTTTCCTACAGTTTGCTAGTTCACATAATTTGTTCCCAGATTAATTTTACTTACATCCATAGACTTGGCTCATAATGTGATATAGTATAGTTATGATAAAATGAGATTAAAGTCTCACAGAGAAAGTATTATGAATATTATATTTTTACACATATAGGTAAGCCTCTAGACCGTGAGAATAAATAGATGGATGGAATGTAGGTTAACTTCACCAGCAAATTAAACTGAGGGTTTCTAGATAAATCAATTCACCTGTAAGATAGCTCGTTAGATAACTGCTAAACAGACAGGTGCAAAGAATTGGATGCTATAAAGGATATAAGTACAATAGATTTAATAAAACTAGCAACCACTTATATCAAAAC